ATCTGACGACTGTCCAGAAGGAGAATGGTCTCGGCGTGGTCTTCCTACAGTACTCGTGGACGAGATTGATGACGACGAAAAGGTATCCAGCGTAAGCATCGATCATAAACGAAATACTGTCAGGGTCCACCAAATACCCACCTTCGTTCACTACCTTCTTGTACTCATCAACCCAAATGTAATTCTGATGATGATAATGTACGCGTGCAGTTTTGGTGTTGAGATAGCCGTCGACAATATTATCGGTGGATTCTTCTATACTCGTTTTGGACTTTCTCAAACTTTCTCTGGACTAATCGGTTCCATCTTTGGAATGTTGAATATTTTCTCCCGTGCCAGCGGTGGTCTTATGTCTGATTATCTCAATCATAAATTTGGGGTTCGCGGTCGGTTGTTTGGACAATTCATATGTTTCTTCTTCCAAGGGATACTTTTCATTCTCTTCAAATACACAAGTTCGACTTTGTCGGGATCCATTATTGTCATGATTGTCATCTCCTACTTTACTCAGGTGAATAACATAATCTCTAATGCACAATGTTAATAGGTCTTGAGTATTAATTACCGTATTAATTTCTTTTATTGAAAACGCAGGCTTGTTGTGGTACGTCTTTTGCGATCGTTCCTTATTTGGATCCGGCAGCTGTTGGCATAGTTTCAGGATTGGTGGGGTCGGGCGGTAACATTGGTGGACTGATATTTGCCGCCATATTCAAAGCTTTCTCTCGTGACATTTTAAACGGATTTATGGTACTAGGATTAATCGTGACTGCATCTTCATTCCTACCATTCTTAATGAGCATCAATGGTCGAACGATGATCTTTGGAAAGCTCAAGAGAAACTTTTGATGAATTTGTGTGCTTCAAAATCATCATTTCAATTATAATTTCATCAATTCCCGTTTCACAAAGAGCAACAATTCATTTTTTTTTTCAATATAACTTAATTCCTTTTTCAATATCAATCGTAATTTATTGTCAACCTGGTACAGTAATTTGAATCTCGACATATGGTATCTTTTTTTTTTTTAAAAAAAAAGTTGACGGCTGAACTTGATCGTGTTAAAATAGATCACTCATTTGATCATGAGCGAATTATAATGACGAGATTCATACATTAATTAATTTAAATACATAGTAAAATAATTGTATCCGAAATAAATAATCATTTTTAAGCAATTACGGAAATTCGAAAGCAATCGATGTTACGTTTTCAGCCAATTTATGGTTACATAAATATAAATATATATATATATATATATATTTCATATAAATGATCGTGTTAAAACACACACTGTACTTTTTGAACGGTTTTTAGAATCCAAAAATCCTTTCGTTATTATTTTTTTTGTTTTTTTTTGCATACTGTATTGGATTGGTAGTTGATAACAATAATTATACTTGTAGAATGCAAAAATCTTATTATTTCATTTCATTGATTATTTTTAAATAAAAGGAAAACCGAGCAATTGTGTATTTATTGTTCATACACGCCCGTTACAAGGAAAGTCAATATTGTCAGTATACTAATATACATTATTATTATTACGTATTATATGAAACAATAAATGCAAGAAATAATTGACACATGGTTGTTTATCACGTGATACTTGTAATGATATAACATTGTTATATGATATTTTTGGTATTTTTTATCGAATAAATACGTAAATTGATTTGTTTATATGACTAAAATAAAACAAATTTGATTTTACAGTTGTACGGATTTTGATTTTTGATATACCGTAACAACGTGAATTATTTTTATGATAGGATGTGTGATACAAAATCGAAATTAACCGAATTGCTATTTTTGCGTCGTGACTTGATAAATAAGAGTTAATCGATTAAAGTAGAAATTTTAAATATTTCTTTTTTTTTATAACTTGGTTAATAAAATTATATACAAAATATGTATAATTAGAAAATAAAGTTGAAAATATAAAAAATATCAAAAATACAAAAATTCTAATTTCACAAGATAATTATAATATCAAAATTTAAAATTTAAAAGATTATTATAATGCAGAAATTTTAACATTACAAAATAATTATTATGTTTAAGTTTCAAATTTAAAAAATAATCATAATGCAGAAATTTCAATATTACAAAATATTTATTATAATGAAATTTCAAATTTAAAAAATAATTATAATAAAGAAATAAAGAAATTTTAATATTAAAAATAATTATTATTTTGAAAAAAATAATTATATCTTGAAATTTCAAATTTAAAAAATAATTATAATATTGAAATTTAAAATTTAAAAAAAGATTTAAAATATGTCTAACAAAATTCCAATATAAAATTCTTTCTAAATTTTTAATGATAATATTATAAATTTAACAAATTTATTATATAATCAACAATATATTGAAAAAAATCCATCATATATAAATCCAAATTAATTTATTAATATATTGAAACAAATAATTTAAAACTATTATGTTTAATATTTTATAATATATAAAATTAGAAAATTCTAATTCTAAGATACTTAAAAAACTTAAACTTAAAATTATTTTATTATTTTATTACTTGACTGGATTAAAAATAATAAAATTACAATGTAAAAAATTTAACTGGAAGTTTTTTATTAAAAGCTGAATTATTATCAAAAGTTATTAATATATTATTATATTTTGGATATATAATAAATTATTCTACAGTAAATTATATTTTATATAATAAATTTAAAAAAAGAATATAAAAATAATATTAATAAATATTTTCAAGGAAATTAAATAATTTTTTTGTTTTTAATATTGATGATTATTATAATTGTCATTAAATAAAACTTCTTATTATAACTTCTAATAATAGAATATTTTATATGGCTATAACACTTATTAATATTTTATCAAATATTTTAAACATTTCATATATTAATATTAATTAATTTTTTACATTATAAAATTGATTTAATAGAAATTAATCAAGTTTAAAAAATATTATATGATAAAATAAAAAATATTTAATTAGTTATAATTCTTATAAATTGGAATGAAATAATATTTCTAATATTTTAATATTATCTGTTAAAAATTTAATGAAATTTTTATCTGTTTATATGTATAATAATATTCTTAAAAATCAATATATAAGAAATTTTAAAACTACAAAACTTATAAATTTTATATTATTTAATTTAATGAAAATTTCATAAATTAAAGAATATCTAAAAATAATATCATATTTGTTTCAATAAATTTTCATAAACAATTAAATATAAGAAAATTAATTGTTTAAAAATTATTATATTATCTTTTTTTTTTATAAATATCAATTCCTTTATTATTATATATATATAATTATATGTTTAACAAAAATTTATATTTCTTAATTTATATAAGTTAAATACTAGTTTATTAAAATAACTATTTAAATTATATTAGAAAAAATTTTAAAACAATATTTATTTAAATAGTAGTATAACAAATTATACTATTTATAATAATAAAAAAGATTAAGAAAAATAAACTATATATTAATATTTAATAATAGCTTCTTATATTATAATTTTAGCTTATATAGTTATAGATTCAGAGAGAATTAAATATAGATATGTATTTTCTAGTAAATGTTCTATTTTTGATTAGTATAAACTATCAAATTTAGAGATTCTAAAATCAAATAGAACATGACTTTAAAATTTTTTAATAGATATTTAAAGTAGTATTATAAATTATTAGTTGAAAAGTTCAAAATTAAACATTTAGAATTTAAAATTTTTAGTTATAACTAATTAATTATATTTAAAACAATTAATTGATTAAAAATTTTTTATCAACTAAAATTATTACTCCAAAGAATTCAATTGACTTAAATTGTCAAATCTAAGAACAAAATTATTAAGCAAAATACAACTCTTATATAATTGATAAATCATTAAAAAGTTATAATAATATTATATATTAATATTCACATTATCAATCTCTTCAAAATTTATTTAATATTAATATATAATAAGTTATTATTATTGTTATTGTTGATATTGTTATTATAATATCAAATAGTATGATTTTAATAAGATGTAATTGATTAAAAAATAATATTGATTATTTGATAAAATAATTAATTTTGATTTTTTTAGTAAAAAAAATTTTTGTGTTTATACAGTAGGTGGCCAAAAGTCATCGAACAGTTCAAATGCCAATAGTAAATTTTTTTTTTTTACTAATTATATTTTTAAAAAAATTTTTTTTTTTAAATAT